TCTCCCTTCCCACAATCCCTAAAGTCATGCAGACAATCAAGCTGGTCTTTTGGGTGCTCCAGTCTTTTCCTGATGTCTTTGTGAAGAAAGCATTTCCTCCTTAGATGGACAAACCGATATGCCTTCAGGCTGGAATTCTCACCCTTCTTAGGTCTTCTTCATTTCCCATTCCTAAAGCACAGAAAGATAAGGAAAAAAATCAGTTGTTGAGGGTTCTAGTGGGACATTCACTATGAATAGCTCCACTGGCCACGTTAGAGACCATGGGGGCCCTGCTCCTCAGTCTCTGTGACCTTTAGTCCCTTCCTTCATTCTCAGCTGACTAGTCAGGATAGCTTTTTGTTGTGTGGTGATAGTGACGACAAGGTCTCTATGTAGAATCAGGCTGACCTCAAATTCATGGTGAGCCCCCTGCTTCAGCCTCCAAAGTGCTGGGATTACATAGTCAGGATTTTTATTTTATTTGTTTGTTTACTTTGGTTTTTCAAGATAGGGTTTCTCTGTGTAACCTTGGCTGTCCTCAAACTCACAGAGATCTGCCTACCTCTACCTTCTGAGTGCTGGGATTAAAGACATGTGTCACCACCTCCTGGCATAGTTTTTTTTCCATTTTTTATTGATTTACTTATTATATATGTATGTGCGTTTTTCCTGTTATGTCTATCTGTGTACTATGTATGTGCCTGGTACCCATGGAGGTCAGAAATGGGTATCAGATCCCTGGAGTTGCAGATGTTGTAAGCCACCAGGTGGGTGCTGGGAACTGAACCCCAGTCTTTAGCTGCTGAGCCATCTCTCCAAATCCCAGAGTGGCCTTTGAGGAATACACTTGGCATTTAGAAAACCAGTCTTCTCAAATCTTCCCAGTAAGTTAAAATGCTCAGTTCCTCCAGTGGACTAACGTCTATAGAGGAGGAACTGCTGCAGCCTGTTGACTCATTCTGGCTTATCTGTTTTCATACAGCCTACCAGCTACATACATTTTATCGTGTCTCTAAGCGCTTGGAAAAAATACTAAAAGAACACCAGTACTTCGTGACAAGTAAAAGTGCTACAGAATTGGAATTTCAATGCCTGTAAGTAAAGTTTTATTGGGACACAGTCATATTCTTCATGTGCTAGTTTTTGTCTGGGCCTGCTTTCCAGCCACAGTGGCAGAATAACACAGACTGTACAGCCAACAGTGTTGAAAGTATTTCCTGAGCGGCAGAGACCCTCACAGGAAGAATTTGCTGGCTTCTGGGCCTGGCTGCCCTGGCCTGGTTGTTCCTTTTTGTCTCTCACTCTCAGTGTTCACCTTTCTGCCTACTTGTCCACAAACAAGCGAGGACTTGGCACGTGCTCTTCTCCTTCCATCCCTCCAGCCCCATTTCCTCACACTCTCCTCAGATCTCTGCTTGTATATGACCTACTGCAAAGGCGGTGGCTATCAATAGTTAAAATAACTACCTCAATGGCATGCCACCTTTCTCTCTTCCCCTGCTTTAAGAACTTACTATGGCCTGGCACCACAGTCTTCACTGTGAATTCTTATCTTCCCGAGTCCACAAGAGAAAGAAAGGCTTGCTTGGGTTCCTTACTATGTAGCTTTTCATCTTAAAGAAGGGGAAACCCATTGGTCTCTGTATTTCTTAGTAAGGTTAGGCACTTCTAAATCAAACTACCCAGTGTTAGCTTTCACAGTGGCTTACTGGGTACACTGGCTGAGCTTGAATATGTATAGTCTCACTACATAGCCCAGGCTGGTCTAGAAATCATGATCCCTCTGCCTCAGATTTAGGTACTAGGATTGTAGAGTGTGCCACTGTGTCCAGTATTGAACATTTGTTTTTCAGTTACACACCATTTTACCTGTATCTTCTGAAATCCAGAAAACCCGGAAATGGGCATATTTTCTAGATACTTTAGCATAAAACTCATTTGGTAGCAAAACCTGATGTGGCCAGATATAAGATGTTTTCTGCTTGATGGTGTAGAGTTACTCAGATGCTTGAGAAATGTGTTGGAGTGTTTCCAATACATATGCCTTTCTAAAGCCCCAAATGTTCTTAACAGCTGTCCCGAAGAATTACACAGAAGAGGCTGAGGACCAGTGTCGTACAGTGAGCCCCATGTCTCTCTGTTCTTATGTTGGCTTCTTACTTAGCCTTGGGCCAGGCCCATTACCCCTAATCTTATCTCCTACTACCCTGGAACGCTGTTAAGATCAGAAGCCAGATGGCAGCTTGTCAGAGCCATGTTAAGGAAGGGCGAGGGGTCAGGCTTTACTGCATGGCTATACCTGCCTGTCTCCCTATTCCCTGCTTTTCTCACTAGGTGGCATTCTGGGTTTTGGGGATGGATCTTATGTAGAAAGATCCATATCTGCCAGGCGTTGGTGGTGCACCCCGTTAATCCCAGCACTCAGGAGGCAGAGGCAGGTGGATCTTTGTGAGTTTGAGGCCACCCTGGTCTACAGAAGGAGTTCCAGGACAACCTCCCAAGCAATACAGAGAAACCATGTCTCAAAAAAAAAAAACCAGAAAAAAAAGAAAGATCCAGATCTGTGCTTTGCTTTTAGCCGAACTCTTTCTTGGTTTACCTTGGCCTTCTGTAGCACTCTTCCTTGGTTGGAGGTTACAATGGATGGACTCCTCTTCCGCAGCTCAGAAACACAGTTGACAGGGAGAGATTGCTCTGGGATATTGCTTTGGGGTTTATTTGTACTTTCCTGTTGGTGGCAAACAAAACAAAGCATTAAGTAGGTGAGATATAGTGCTGTCTATTTGCAACTGAGCTGCACTTAGAAGGACAAGAGAACTTTAAATTAGAAAGCACTAGGTAAACATGCCAGCCCTGAGCAGGGCAGGGACAGAAGATGCTGGGGGCTGGGGGGTAAAGACAGTAACAGGCAAAGTCACAGAGCTCTCTCTGTACACCAGGCAGGCATTGTGTGGGTGGGTTTTTCCATGGGCCTGTGAAATAGGTCCTGTTTACTAATCATCCCATCTCATGGATGAAATAAGGAAGGTCAAGGTTTTGTGCAAGGTGACATGGTTGCTTAGTGTGAGAGCCGGGATTCAAATCCCATAGTTACACTGTTTCTTTTGGATGGTGCTGGTGGGGTTAAACAGCTTCATGCGCATGCGCCTAACTTCTCCCTGATATTGTCTTATTGTCTACACTATGTTAAATCTTCTAGATAACTGCTTACTATTAAACTCTGTTAAGTGTGTGTGCTGTCTACTTTTTTTTTTTTTTTGGTTTTTTCGAGACAGGGTTTCTCTGTGGCTTTGGAGGCTGTCCTGGAACTCACTTGGTAGTCCAGGCTGGTCTCGAACTTACAGAGATCCGCCTGCCTCTGCCTCCCGAGTGCTGGGATTAAAGGCGTGCGCCACCAACGCCCGGCTGTGCTGTCTACTTTTATGTCAGGTTGACACAAGCTTCTGAGAGGGAGCCTCAATCGAGAAGATGTCTCCATAATATCGGGCTGCAACCAAGCATGCAAGGCATTTTTTAAATTAGTGATTGATGGGGGAGGCCCCACTCCATTGTGAGTGGGGCCATCCGTGAGGCTCAAGTTCCTGTGTTCTATAAGAAAGCAAGGTGACACCGGGCGGTGGTGGCGCATGCCTTTAATCCCAGCACTCGGGAGGCAGAGGCAGGCGGATCTCTGTGAGTTCAAGGCCAGCCTGGTCAACCGAGTGAGTTCCAGGACAGCCTCCAAAACAATACAGAGAAACCCTGTCTTGAAAAAAAAAAAAAAAAAGCAAGGTGAGAGGTTGATGAGATGGCTCAGTGGTTAAGTGCATTGGTTGCTTTTTGAGAGGTTGTGAGTTCAATTACTGGATGGCTCACAACTATCTGTAATGAGATCTGACTCCCTCTTTTGGCCTGCAGGAATATACATGTAGACAAAACACTATACAAAACAAACAGACAAACAACAAACAACAAACAACCAAAAAACAAAAACAAGCCAGTAAACAGCAGCCCCTCCTGCCCTGTTTGAGTTCCTGTCCTGGCTTCCTTCTGTGTTGAGGCATATTGTAGAAATGTAAGCCAAACAGCTCTTTGGCTATGATGTTTCATTACAGCAACAGTAACGCTAACTAAGGCAGTGTGAAATCTTAACAGCTAACCCTGCAAGGCATTTAGAGAGGGATTAATATTATTATTATTATTTATTATTATTTATCTCCAGAGGGTAAGGAAGGCTCAAAGGAGGTGGAGAAGACACTGAGGGTGTTGCTGAGAAGCAGCGCCTGTTATGAAGGGATTGGGTTCTAGCTGCTTCCCCCGCCCTCTGTGAATCAGGTTCCCTACCTGTAAAATGAAGCTAAGGGTGCCCTCAAAGAGAAGTTTCAGACCAACTGCCAATATGGACTAGCTGGGAACACAGCTCCCAGTGCCAGCTCCCACTTATCAGGCAAGCCCGTCTTGCTGTCTGAGAGCAGGGAGGGCATGTAATCATTCAGCAAACACTTGCAATGCTCCTAGTATCCAGACTCTGTAAGAGGCTAGGGGTATGATAAACACAGTCTAACTCCTGTGGGTTGTTTTCGGTGCTGGGGAATCTAACCTAATGTCTCACACACGCTAGGCATGTGCTTTACTACTGCACTGCACCCCTATTGCTCAAGTCTCAATAAAACCACAAAATAACCTGGGGCAGGAGATAGACATTATACAAATAAGGATATACATTTGCATGCATTCTCTCTCTCCCTCTCCCTCTCTTTCTCAACGGTTCAGTATTATGCAGAGGAGGAATGATATGACCATTGGCAATTTATATCAATGCTTCCTAGTGGGGAAATCCTGCCCTCCTTGGGATATCTAGGGTTTTCTGGAGACACTTCTGGCTGTCATAACTGGGAGTGAGAACATAGTGGGGTGGCAGTGTGTGAGGGGCTCAGAAGCGGCTGTCCCATGGAGGAGGAGGCACTGAACTCACCTGGCTCCTGTTCTTGTTGCTCACTGACAGGCCCAGGGCGGGGCCCCCTGCCAGGGACTGCTGCAAGCGCTCCTTCACAGCCACCAGCTTCAGTTCCAGGTCGATCCTCTGCTCTTCCTTGGCACGACACTGTGCTTCCAGAGTGGCCACAGCCTCCTCCAAGGCCTTCAACTTTGCTCCTGAGTTCAGAGACACTGGTGAGAAAGTCTGCAGGGCCTCAGGTCCCGTTGTCTCTCCTGGAGAGCCTTCCCAGCAGTGTGGGTGCAGTTAAAAGACAGATTTTGAGGTGGGTTACCAGCCACACTGTGGTATGGTCTTTATCTGCCTAGCATCCATCTTCAGGAAGCAGCGCCCTAATATTTCACTGGAAAACCACTGTTTCCCTCTTAGTCCCTACAGTTTGAGTGTGTGGGTCCCATGTAATTCGGGGGCCTGACTGGAGATCCCCTCTCATCTTCCATCCACAGTGACTGGTTTAGAATATAGAGTTGGTCCAAATGGAGTGACTCCTGAGATTTTGGTGGTGGTCACTGGGAAGAGTCGCCCCTTTTGCTGGGGTGTCCAGAGGATTGGGTGAAGGCTTGTGCTGTGCAGCCACGAGGTCACCAAGAGGAAGAGACTGAAAGCAGTTCTTTCCCTGTATGCCACCACACGTATCTGATCTCTCAGTTTTCAGTTTGCATTTTTGTGTGTGATTTTGGTTTCTGTTGCCTGTGTACTGAGACATAGTTCAGAGCTTTCCACAGCCCAGGTTTTCCAGGAGGATCTTGCTGCTTATTTAGTGTAAACCGACAGACAAATTTTCATTAATATTTCTGTCATGCTAAGAAGCTCCATTTGTAGGGGTGGGGGTGGAGATTGAACCTAAGAGCTTGCACACTAGGAAGGGCTCTACCACAAGGCTACACCCACGGTCTCCCATCCAAAAAAAATCTTTTTTTTTTTGGTTTTTCGAGACAGGGTTTCTCTGTGGCTTTGGAGGCTGTCCTGGAACTTGCTCTGTAGACCAGGCTGGCCTCGAACTCACAGAGATCCGCCTGCCTCTGCCTCCCAAGTGCTGGGATTAAAGGCGTGCGCCATCAACGCCCGGCTTCCAAAAAAAAATCTTAAAAACAAAACAGTGTCTCATGTAGCCCAGTCTTGCCTCAGACTGCACAGTGGAAAGTGCCTGCCTCCAAAGTGCTGGGATTATGGTGTGTGCTGCCATGCCTGGTTTATGTGATACTGGGGATTGAACCCAGGACTTTGTGAATGCCAGGCAGGCACCTACCAATGAGCCACAGCTCTAGCTCAGTCCAGAATCCTCTCCATCCCTTAACTTCCATTAGAAGGTTTCAGTCATGTTAAATGCATTCATTGATTTAGTAGTTGTTTATTGAATTCTTACTACATACGAAGCACTGTCCTAAACCCTTGGGATGGATCAGTGAAGAAAACAGCAAAGATCTAAGCTTTTATGAATCTTTTATGTATATGTGTATGACAAATATAAGTAAAAGTAATGACTATAGCAACTTATGTGTACTGCAAATTGATACAGACAAAAACGTTGGCTAGGACAGTCTGTTCCAAATCATGGTTCTTACCTCTAGAAAGTTCCTGTCCTTTGTCCATTCGTTTGTTTATTTGTATGGGGGATTGAGTCCAGGACCTTACACATGCTGGACAGGTGCTCTACCACTGAGTTACAACTCTAGCCCCACAATTTTTCTTATACTGAAACCAAACTGCTTTCCTTGCCGTCCTCCCATGTGTTTATTCTCTCTTTCTTTTTTTTCTTTTGGATACAGGGTCTCATTATGTAATCTTGTCTCTTCGAGAACTTGCTGGGACTAGAGGTGTGCTCCATCACACGTGCTTCTAGGTGTTTATTCTCTGGTTTACCAGAGGTCCTCATCTTAGGCCCATTGTGATCTATGGATGGATGGGGTTTAGGGTTGGACCACTGAATCTGTCTGTACCATTTTGATGTAGTGTTTTGTTCCATAAGGGCCATGTGTGTTCTACAAGGCAGGACTTCCTATTCCCCAGAACACGTGGGAGAAACCCAGGCAGAACTACAGCCAGGTAAGAATTCAAAGAAACACAGTAGAAAATGGGGTTAGGGAATCCCAGAGTGGGCAGGGACTGTTGAGGTTTTTGGATTTCAGAGGAGGATCCTGGAAACCTAGCCCTGGGCCATTGCTTTACATCTAAGTGAATGAATGCAGGACCCAAGAAGTCTTCCATCCAAGATGCCGAGGCAGGCTCTGCTCCCCACACTGCTGAAGCACATCATCTCTTTCTACAGGGAGGTCTACATCCTGGGGTGCTTTCCACGCTCTCTCTGGAAGCAGCTACTAAACTGCCTGCACCTTCTTTAATCATGATGGATGACAATGAGGAGGAGGAGGGGCAAAGCCCACCTCTTCTGGGTGGGTAGCTAAGAAATCTGTGTAAGAGGCCTCCCCTTAGTGCCGGGGGGGGGGGCAGGGGGGGTCTCAGGCTGAGCCACCCTTGTGCACTCGGGGCCACACCGTGGCAGGTACCTGGGTTGTTCCGGATGGCTTCCTTCAGCTCCTTCTTCTCCTGTCGCAAAGCCATCAGCTCTGTGCGAATCATCTCCTTCTCTTTTTCCAACCTCTCTTTTTCTACCAGGTACCTGCGGGCATCCTCCTCGGCCCGGTTCTTGCCGTACTTGTATTGATTGGCGCCTGCAGAGATACAGGGCATCTCCTGAGGACTAGGAAGGAACAGGGACGCAGCACAGCACAGGGACTCAGAACCAGGCAGATCAGGGTTTGCATTTTTTCTTTCTGGGTGTGAGCCGTCAGGCCCAAATGATTGGTGTGCGTTTGCGCCTTCCCCCAAACCTCAGCATCCTTATGCACAAATAAAGACACTGATAACGGATGCAGTGAGGTTTAAATGAGATAATCAAGGAAAAGTACTTAATATAGTACCTGGCAAGTGATGCCTGCTTAGTAAATGTTAGGAAATAAGGGCAGTCGTTACATATAATAAAGCAAAATTTGTAATGCATAACCCATGTTGCTTTATAGAAAGTGTGCTTTGAAGGAGTCAAACCTCAGGTTACTTATGATAAAGGAAGACACCTACATGTAACTCAGGTCAGGCCCTGCTCGGTGTGCTGCTGGGGAAGGGTGGGAAGAGAGAAAGCCCAGGCATGAACTGTAGGTCCACCATGGTGGACAGCAAGCAACTGCACAGAACCATGCTTCTCACAGTGTATGCTACACTCAGCCACTCGCTTGTATTTCCCTCTAACCTCCCTCTGTTATTATTCACTGTGCGTCTTACTTGGTTCTACTTATTATTACTCTATTTTACTGCCGAGGAAGCCAGGCGCAGAAAGGTTAGGTCCCACTGTTTATGGTACTAGAGACAAGTTGAACATGTGTGTCTATCTTACTTTAGGTGATGAGGTCATGAGCCAGAATCTTTAGAGGTGACATCAGTGGCCTTGGAAGAAAGCAAGAGAGCCATCTATGTAATAGGGGATGGCCCAGACACCACAGCTGCTGACTTGGACTCCAGCTTCCAAAGCTAGGAGAAACGAGCTGTTGCATTTAAAAAGGTCATCTAGCTTAGGATGTTTTGTGACAGCAGATTGAGGGCCAGGGCAGCATTTCTCCTGTGTGCCCCTGGATGTCACTGGACTACACCACGTGGCTTCTAGTTCCTCCAGGAACCCTGTGACTCCATCAGTGGCCCCCAGGCCCCCAGGATGGGGATGGGGAGGCCAATAGGCCTAAGCCAGACCAGTCTCATTTCACAGCTCTTACAATCTGGGCTCTTGTGAGACATTTGATTAAAAAACAAACAAACAAACAAAAAACCCAAAAAACAGGTTTAGGGTTTTTACTTTTTGCTGTTGTTATTATTTAGTGATTTCTTGAATCCGACATAATGACTTCAATTTTCTATTTTTCTTATTCATTGACTTTTATTTTATTTTTTGTTTTTTCAAGAGGTCTCATTATGTAGCACTGGCTGTCCTGAACTCACTATGTAGACCAAGTTGACCTTGAACTCACAGAGATCTGCCTGCCACTGCCTCCTGGGTGCTAGGATTCAAGGCATGAGTCACTATGTCTGGTGAATTTTATTTTTTCACAGCAGGGTCTTGCTGTGCAGCACTAGCTGGCCTTTTTATCCATGCAGACAAGGCTGGCCTGGCACTTGCAGTGATTCCCCTGTCTTTGTCTCCTGAGCACTGGGACTGCAGCATGTCAGTTACACGAAGAACAGTTTTCCACGTTACTTTTGCAAAGCCCTTATTTCCAGTGTCTAAGAAAGAAGCATCTCAGGAGCGTTACACATCCCTCCCTTATTCTGAGGGAACCAGACAGGGGAAAGGACTTGTTCAAAGTTACATAACAGTGTCTCAGCCAAGTGAGGAATGGAAGACAGATGTCCCGAGTCTTGGGAGGACATCTCCATTAATGCAATGGAGCCCGGGGACAGAAAGTTTTTTTTTTCTTTAAAGAAGTCTTCAAAAGGCCAGGTGTGGTGGCACACACCTTTAATTCTAGCACTGGGTAGGCAGAGGCAAGCCTGGTCTACAGAGTGACTTCCAGGACAACCGGGGCTACCCAGAGAAACCTGTCTCAAAAACAAAACAAAAAAGTCTTCAAAAAGCAAAGACTAGAATGCGGGGAGAAGAAACAGTACATTACCCTGTGGGAAGCTTGCTCTAGCATGACCTCAATGAGTCCCCTGTGTGCTCTGGAGGACACAGATAGGAGCACAGAAGTGAGCTGTGGATCTTGTGACACCCCAGCTCAGGAACTGTGGAGGAAGTGGTTATCTGCTTACTACCCTAGACCACAGACCACAAACTGTGGTCTTCTGGAAAAGACAGGCTTTGAGATGCATGCTCTCTCTCTCTCTCTGTCTCTCTCTGTCTGTCTCTCTCTCACACACACACACACATACCTGTGTATGCTTATCTACCTTTAAACACTTAACTATTATACAGGTAATACTCATGCCATATAAAATCATTTTAATTAGCAGCTAATATTAAGAATTCACATGCCAGCTGGACATTGGTGGTGCACGCCTTTAATCCCCGCCTTTGGGAGGCAGAGGCATGTGGATCTCTGTGAGTTTGAGGCCAGCCCGGTCTACAGAGCAAGTTTCAGGACAGCCTGAACTATACAGAGAAACCCTGTCTTGAAAAACCAGAAAAAAAAAAAAGAATTCATATGTTGGGTGGTGGTGACACACGTTTTTAATCCCAGAGCTCAGGAGGCAGGGGCAGGCAGATCTTTGCGCCAGGGTTAAACAGCGAAAACCCTATCTCAAAAATAAAAAATAATTCACATGAAATTTATGTTTTGACCTCTTGAATAATCAGTAAATGCTGTGTGAGGTCTTCTGGGTAAGCCAAGTAGGGTCTACCTCCGGAATAGGACCTACGCACTCTAGCCTCTCTGTAAACCTTCCTCCGCTACTCACTTGCTCTCTGACCTTACCACCATGCTGTGTTGTTACTTCCTTTTTGTTTCTCTTGCTATGCTGGGGCCTGGGACCTCAGGTCTCCCCATACCGCCCAGCCCCCATTACTTTCCTTGGGTAGAGCATTTACCGATGGACCTCTTTTACTCATTGAGTTCCCTGCCCCTGGGCATCTGGTATTGAGACCCTGCAGTGCTCTGCTCTACCTCCCCTGAGTAGGAGAAGACCACAGAACTCACTGGAGGCATGGCGCTTGACTTTGACCTGTGGGTCCACACGATGGGACTTCTCACTGCAGGAGGAGGCATGGCGCTTCACCTGAGCCCCGGTGGGGTGCTGGGGCTCCTCATCCTGGACGGGGGACAGAGGAAGAAGGTTGAGTGCAGGCAGGGTTCAACCTGTTCAGACAGGGAGCCTCCGGCCAGCACCTCTGAGATCTTGGCCTTACGTGTGTAGATTTGTGCAGTTTTCTACAGTCTGCAGACTGCCTTCACCAGCAGTACCATTCCAACCTCATACCTTCTGTGGGAGGTAAAAGGCAACCTTGAGCTGAGTACTTACTGAGACACAAATGAGAGGGCTCAGGAAATTGTCTTTGTTACAGGCCTTTGGTCCTCATTTCATTTGAAAGCATTCTTCCACTATCTGAATTGCTAATACACAGTCTTCCCTCAGAAGAGGAGGAGGAAAAGGGAGAGAGGGGCCAACGACAGAAGTGATGCACCTTATTAACCTGGCTGCATTTGCGCTTGAAGAGTATTACCCATGCTCCAAGTCCAGCCAAGGTCTTGGTGTGATGCCTTACTGTCATTTAACCATCTTATTAGGAACAGCACTGTCATTTCTCTGGACAGAATGTCCCAATGCCTGCTGGGCACTGTGCTAATTCCTTCCTTCCTTCCTAACATGAATCATTTCATTTAGTTCTTAAAACACTCCTGAGAAGGACCCACACACCCACGTGAAGGTGGGAAGCAGGGGGTCTGATGAGCAAAGCGGAGGTCCCTCTAACTCCAGTTTTCACATCTGAAGTGCTTAGTTTTTTGCTTGTTTGACACAGGGTCTTACTATGTAGCTCTGGCTGTCCCGGAACTCACTCTGTAGACCAGGCTGGCCTCGAACTCAGAGATTCACCTGCGTCTGCCTCCCGAGTGCTGGGATTAAAGGTATGGGCCATCACACCCGGTTATATCTGAAGTGCTAAACCACCCAGCTACTAGCTTCTCTGCAGCTGAGCAAAACCTTCAAGTTGCATTCAAGAAAGACCTTGGGAACAAAATGGCAGGCTGGGTATGTTTCTGAAAAAAGGGGGATCATGGAAATGAGGGCGCAGAGTGTCATCTAGTCCGGGCAAGGTCCTGCTCACAGATGTGCCATGTCCTCAGCACCTTTGTTCTCTCTCCTCTAGATGCAAGGCCACCAAGGTGCCTGTTTTCTGGCCTTCTCCAGGAGAAGGCACAGGGCACGCGGCTGAGAGCAGGAGGCTTAGTGAAGGCAATTTCTCTGACGCAAAGGATAAGGCGGGCAGTGAAGGGGAAAGCAGAAACAGAAGGACAGCCTTTGGCGTGTTACTAAGCGGTGTCACTAGACCATACCTGCACCTTTTCATAAGGAACCTCATCGTAGACACGGGGCTCAGGCCACTGATCCTGGCAGGACTGTGCATACCTAGAACATGAAAGGTACAATGATGTTGGTGACACTTTGTGGCTTATGCTGCCTTCCTGTCTTCTCTCGTTTGATGCTGGGCAGCATTTTTTTTTCGCTAAGTTCATTTATTTTTATGTGCACTGGTGTTTTGCCTGCATGTATGTCTGTGTGAGGGTGTCAGGTCCCCTGGAACTGGGGTTACAGGCAGGTGTGAGCTGTAATGTGGGTTCTGGGAATTGAACCAGGGTCTTCTGGAAGAGCAGCTAGTGCTCTTAACTGCTGAGTCATCTCTCCAGCCCCTGGCAGCAGTTTTTAACGTAGATCGAAAGGTCATGTGCTTGGGAGGACTGCATGAGTCTCCAGAGATGACAACAGGTGGCTCATTCCCACCATCCTTTGAAAGTCTGGTGACAGGCTGCAG